GTAAAAGGAAAAGCAGAGGAGGGGGAGGAGACGAGGGCAGAGCAGCAGCACCCGCAGCCCCGCAGCCCGCGGCGGGCGATGCGCGCTCGGGTCCCGGCACCGGTGCCTGCCCCGCTGCGCTGCGCGGGGCTGCGCCGCCCAGCGCGGGACAGCGCCTGGCCGCGCATCCAAGGCGTGGTGCGCATAACCCCGCGGCCTTTGTGTAATGGTTTTATTGAGAGGAGACAGTTGTGGGGAAACAGGTTTGACAAGGAGCTGCATTTCCCCCTCGAGGGAATAGCTATTTTACTCTCTCTCTCTTTCTTTTTCTTTCTTTTTTTTTTTTTTGGTCTCCCTTTGACATCAAAGTCAGCGATCGGTTCACTGCAGTGTCAAGATTATTATTCAATTTATTTATCTTGCCCGCGAGTTTAATCGCTACACACCTGCAGCACGGGCAGGAGGGTGGAAACGGAGCCCCCAGACAGCAAAGGCTACGGCGGGGGGCTAGGAAGGGCAAGCGGGGCAAGGGAGCAAGGAAAGAGGCAGGGACAGGAGGAGAAGAAAGGGCAGGAGGAGAAGGAGGAAGGCAGAGGGAGAGAGAGAAAGGGAAACGAGAGAGAAAGGAGCAGACAGAAGGAGCGAAAGAAAGAGAGGCAAAGAGAAAGAAACGAAAGAAAGAGGTGCAAAGGTGGGAAAGATAACTGGAGAGGGAGAGAGAGAGAAAGAATGAGGAGAAAAGAAGGAAGGAGAAAAAATAAAGGAGGAAAAAGGAAAGAAGAAAGAAGGAGGGGAAGTGAAAAAGGAAAAGAGGAGGGCAAGGGGAAAAAAAAAAAGGAAAGAAGGAAAGATCCCCCCAAAAGTTTCCGGCCCTGTCTCTTCGTGCCCGCCTGGTTTTGCCCCCGGACGCCGCCTTGCCTATTCTCCTTCCTGGACCGCGGGAGCAGCCCCGGGCCCTCTCGGAGCGCCGCGGCCCGGAGGGTCTCAGAGAGCTGGAGAGGGAGGTTGGGCAAGTAGAGGGAAAGGGAGAGGTGCGATGCCCTCCTGCCCCATCCCCACCACCGCCTCTCTGCCCGCCCTGCTCCTTGCAGGGGCCGTCGAGCAAGCGCTTCCCCCCCGCCCCCGCCAACCCCGGCGCTACCTCCGACCACTGTCAACCTAATCGCGGTGGATGCGAAGGGACACTGAGATATCGTCGCTATCACCACAACTGACAGCGACTGTCAGTGGGGTTTACATCAGCGGCGGCCCCGCGTCCCAGCGGAGCGGCCCCGCTGGAGCCCGCGCCTCCGAGAGCCGCTTTTTTTATATATTTTATTATTATTTTTTTTGTCATGCTAAACGAGACTGAAGCAGCCGGGCTAACCTCTCCTTTGAGCCCTTTTCTCCCCTCGCCTTTTGTTTACCTTCGCCTGATCTCTCATTTATTTAGCGAGCCATTCTCCTGCCGCTTACCCTCCCATTCAAGCGCCGTGTATGTTAATTGTGTTATGCCGTTTAATTCTAGCAGCGGTCTCCAAAGAGCACTTAATGAGCAAAGCACATCCAAACACGCCTCACTCCGGCTATTCAGCTCCTCCAGACGGACCTTCCTCCTTGTCTCCCTCTCTGCCCACCGCGTCCCCCCTCTTCCACGAGATTCCCTCCCTCCTTCTACAAAGGGAACGCGTCCCGAAACAGCGCCCGTCGCGCACCAAACACCACTAATTGTCGGGACAAGGCGAGAATTCACTCCACAAAAACCTCCTTATGCTGATCTCCCGCCGCACAAGTGTCTCAACTTCCACACCGCGGAGGCAACTTCGGAGAGGCCGCTTCCCCGCCGAGGAAGGAACCCAGGCTGGGGGCACCCTCGGCTCTCGCCGCGGGAGCCACCCGCCCGTGCCCT